AGACATTTTTACACTTGTGCTACTTGTATCCACGGCTACAGGGGTGGCGCTAAATAACTGGATGGAAAATGTGTATGTAGGCCATATTAACCACAGTGCACACAAAGGTGATCACACCTCTCACCATGAGCCTTACACACTCCAAAGGTTGCTCAAATAAAATGTTACAGTTATGAGAAGATAATGTATACTTTAAAGTTTTTAAATGAAAAAACTTACTGAAGAATTTTACTGAGCTTGGTGACCTAAGAGGTGATTGCTTGATGTCTTTGCAGGTCTATTTCCTATTTTCTTTCCAGGCTTGTTTAACATGTAAGTGATCAATAATTTGACCTCATGTTTGTGTAGCTTTGGCAGCATTTTAACTTTTTGCTCCTCGGTGCAACGAGGACCAAGATGAGCGCTGTCAGAGCTACAAACCAGGTGAGCTCCAAAGGAAAAGTAATAGTGATCAGCAAACCTGATTGGTCAGGATATATTCAAACTGGAGTGTTTTTTTTCTAATGTTTGCTTGACGTTAGTGAGTGAGACTGGGCGGTTGCTGGTAGAGGTGTGAGGTGAGATGTGTCTGCATGTGGAGTTTATGGTGTTTCTGATGTCTTTGTGTTGTAATGGTTTAGGTTTTTTGTACGTAGTTTTTAGTTTAGTTGTGTTTTTTCCTTCTAAGTTACTCCCAGCCCAGGTTTCCTGTCCTGTGTCGCATCCTTGCGTCTCGTCTCTCTTTCCTGTTTACACTGCCCCTCCTCGTGTATTGTGCTGTCATATATGATCCCTTCCACCCTCCCTACTCACCTTTGTGTCCTTATATTGTCTCAGTTTTGCTCTGTCCTCACTCAGGCATCGTGTTTGGGCTTCCCTGTGTTCTGTGTGTTAGTTTTATGATGTTTTGTGAAGCTTTTATTGAAAAATGGTTCATTACTCAAAGCCACAGTCCTCTCTGCTGACCTCTGCTGGACAAAAATATGAAGAGCAGTTTGAATCTACAGCTTCTAATGAGCTGCTTCGTCATGATTGGCTGCTCTGCAGAGCTTCTGGCTGACGTGAGGCTTTGCTCTGTTGTTTTGGGTGAAAACATGACGTTCTGCCTGTTTTGATATAAATAATCTAGATGAATAAGCCTTTCTCGTTTAAACATGTCCCGTGGTCTGGTCTCCTTTTGCTTGTGACTTTTTGATGTTTTTTATTAATAAAAATAAAAAACATACTATATATAACAATGTA